CTCAAAACAGAGCGGTATCGTAGCCAAAGACAGCTGTTTCGCCCTTTTTGAGGCTCGTCAGTATGGCGCAACAACCAGAAAAAGGTCTGATGAAAAATATCCGCGCACTCTGATTTTAACTGACCCAGAACTCTCAACACCCACAGAATCACGCCATACCACGCGTCAGGTTTCACTGTGTATAGATTTAGCCAGGGCTAAAAGCGAAGCTCTCAATAATATTTATAGTTTGTTCAAACAAAATATAAAATCGTGTAATGCTAAGCGGCGAAGGCAACGCCGGAGAACGGTGAAAAACAACAATACGTCTAAAGGTGATGTTACAAGGGACGATTCGCAACGACAATTTTTAGAGCAACACAGCTATGCAATGTTGGAACAATGTTGCAACTATTCGACACAATGTCGCAACAATGTTACAACGCTGTGTTGCGCTAAAAATCGTCGTTGCGAATCGCCTCCCGTAACATCACCTTAATTGGCAAAAGAAGCAACTTTGCACGTGCAGCACACATTTTTTGTACATTTCTTTGCCGTTGTTGTGCATGACTACAATCCAGAAACTTCATAAGGTGTTGTTACACGAGACGATTCGCAAAGACGATTTTTAACGCAAAAACAGCGTTGCAACATTATTACGACATTGTTTCGAATAGTTACAACATTGTTCCAACATTGCTTAGCTGTGTTGCTCGAAAAATCGTCGTTGCGAATCGTCCCTTGTAACATCACCTTTTGTTACACGTTTTATGGAGGAAATGTCGTGCGTGTTCTCGTTCACTATTTTTTCACTGCCGCCAGGGTTATGGGCTCCTGCTGCCGCTCATTTTCACATTGCATTGGTGGCCGCTAGCATTCTCATTTTGTCACCGACGATGGAAAATTTTTATGTTGTTCTCTCAACAAAAAAATTTCTCCTTCGTTTTTTATCTCTCGCTCTAGATCTCTGTCTCGTTGAGCTTCGCTGGCCTGCCGCCTACTTTCTCTTTTTCTCTGTCTTTCTTCTGCTCTATATTCCAAATTTGTGGAAATGACTATTAACCTAAGCTGAATACTTTAGACAACACGGATACAAAAACAATTTCCTATTTCCGTTTTCGTCTTTATTGACTCTTTAGTTGTCTCTGCTTTACAAGATGCCGGTGGCTATGCGATTTCCCGCCAAAATATCCTCGAGTTGCATTTGGGCTGCCATACCTGTTGATTGACTTATTTTACATTGGTAGGTCTGTGGTGCAGACGGACGGTCGCTCGGTCGATCGGTGTACGGTCACTTTATTACCAAATTTTCTCGGATGGCTGAATCACTTCATTTTCTTACCCATGGTGCTCCGCTGGCGCGCTACGCGCGCGAGAGCTCCTCTATAATTCGCTACAATCAATGGGTAATCGATGACTAATCGATAACCAAACATTTTGTGGCCTATCGATTACGCATCAGTGACATCGATTACTCATTGATGTCATCGATGAGTAATTGATGCGTTCGATTACTGATCGATTATCTAATTATCCACCGATTAAGGTGATTGATTACACATCTTATACACTATCTAGCAATTTTTTTCTCAACTTATTTCCGGTGATAAAAATTTACTTTTGTGGTTCTTGAGAATATAATAGCCAAAAAGGAATTTAACTTGCATATTATTATTATTATTATTATTATTATTATTATTATTATTATTATTATTATTTTACTTTTTTTATTGAACATTGTAGTTAATGTGAATAACTGTATCATCTTATTGTAATATCCATATCATTTTATTGTAAATTGCTGTATAATTTTATAGGATGTTCATCTAGGCTACCTTGTTTAGGATCGTGAATTGTCAACTTAAAATTAGTCTTATTAATTAGTAGAGGATTTTTTACCCTCGGCTAAGTGCTATACTATATTTAGACACTTTCATTAAGTCATGATGATGATGATGATGATGACAGTAACTGAAATATCAAAAACGAGATGTTCAGAAGATCGGGTTATCAGTAGCTATCAGTCTTACTCTCTTGGCTATTAGAGGCTATTAGGGTTTTTGACTTGAGAAACAGCCACCGTAGAGTGACTACCGGGTAAAAGATTTCCGCGTCTAAGGTGGTTGTCCTATTTATCCAGATGTATAGAACTGAGCTAAATGAGTAAATTTGATCTAGAGAAAAAAATTAACGAGTTGTACTGTCCATAAATGTATCTCATTTCGATTCAAGGACTAGCAAACGTTTCTTAACAAAGCTGGAGAACAGTAATAACCTAACTTCACATTGTGAATCGGTAATGTCCCCTCTCTTTGGCAGTAACTTATGCCATTGTTATTAAATGATCATTTCATTAAATAAAGCTTGTATCGTGAAATTTATATCAAAGAAATTTTCATTATTTTTTTCGATTTATCATGATTTGCGTACCACCGAGATTATTGATAACTGATCAATAACTAATCAATGATTGAAAATTTTGGGGCCTATCGATTATTCATCGATTACTCATTGAATATCGGATATAATCAATGACTTATCAACTGATTACCCATCGATTACCTATTGATTACTCTTTGATTTCATTGATGTCATCGATTAGTTACGTCTGGCGTATTGCGTCATAAGCATGGAGAACTACATCTCAAGGAAGTGCAGAGGAACCTCTATTCTGGGGACACCCATGGGACCGAGGCAAGTGTCCTCAATGGAGGTTGTGTTGGGGTTTGTTAACAATTAACAAACAAAGTTATAAATTTCAGTGAAAATAAAACGCTAGCCTGCATAGCAAGCGTTTCCGCGCGAGTTCGTCGAGAAAGTTGGGACGAGAGCAAAAAAAAAAGGAATGAGGGGGAAGGGGGAAGGGAGCGAAGGAAACGCTGTTTCCTCTTCTCCCCTCCCCCTCCCCCTTCATTCCCTGGTTAAACCAATTACCTCCATGAGTACAGGGACAGAACGACTATCGATGAGGTGCACTTTACTATATCTGAGTGTCAATGCATTTAGCACTTGAGTACTTATTGGAGACACTATTTTTACGTCTCCTACTGGAGATTGGATGGACCGCTATTTCACGTGGTCATCCGAACCACGCGAAGGTCTGGCCACTTGCAGTGCAAAGGGAGTACCTTCATTTCTCAGTTATTTTTAACTTTTTTTAGGACCCTGAGTAATGGTTCGGCCCCGTGAATCGAACCCGCGACCTCCCGCTCTGCTGTCAAGCGCTCTACCGACTGAGCTAACAGAGCTAATCCTGTCGCGGTTCTTTTTTAAGACAACAAATATGGAAGAAGAGCTGGTTAGTGAAATAGGCGACGATTCCAGATTGTTGGTCCTCGATAAAGGATACTGAACTGCTTAAATCTTCATGTCGAAGATAAAGTCAATAAAATTGTTGTTGTAGCTTTAAAAAAATGAGGTCTACAAAAATGAGGACTATACTGAGAGCCTACGTGAGTTTCAGATGGATGGACATAATTACTTTAAAGGTTACCAAAGCTACGACTAGGCAGAAGATTATGGTGATACGAATACATAAAAGTAGCAAAAGAAAAAAATCAATGCCGATATATGACAAGGACTTGGCTAAAGGTGCGTTATTTGCCAGATAGTGAGCTTTTTGTTCTGAGCTGCATTATTATGAACTGAACTTTACCCTAGAGCTAGTATGAGGAAAGAAAATCATAATTTAAATCAGTAAACCGATCCTCACGGCATTAGCCGCAACTCAGACGGTCCAAGGTCCTCTTAAACCAGTCTGAGGTGATTATCAGACCACATATACCACTGGGCAACCTTGTTCCTAGAGGGTCCTCTCCAATTGGATTTTTGTTGTAATCAGAAACATTATGTCACTTTTCCATGAAGGCGTGTATTTTAAAGTGATTAAAATTACTGAAGAGTTCTTAAACAAGGATTTTGTTTGTGTTGCTTTTACCAGTTTCAGTCATTTTAGAGGGGCCATTTTTATAACTGTCTCGTGATGCAAAGGCTTTGATGGTGCTGAAAAAGTTTGCAGTCTGACGCAAACGTTGGTAACCAGCGTGGCAAGCGTTCCGCGCGAAAGTTGGAACGACAGCGAAAAAGAGCTTTCTATACGAAGAACCTGCAGAGAACTAGCCTGTTTGAGGGATTTAGATAGTGGATAGTTTGGCGCGTTTTCCTGCTCACTTTTTTTGCGCCGTGTCACTAGCGACCGCGGAGCACATTTTGGGTCAACGAAATACGAGCTCAATGAGTGCTGGAGACACAAGCCAATCTGTAATCTTCGAAAGGATAAATTGAAAATTTAGACGCCCCTAGCCTTTAGGCGGAAATTATGTTATCATTACTGTTAGATCAGAGCGCAAACAAAAAAATTATTCAAACCATTTCGAATTCACAAATTTCTCTTTCTTTCTTCTTCATTTGGAATTGAAACGATACTCCCGTACACTCCCGTAGTTCCCCCTAAAACCATACCCGATTCTAGACCAAAATAGGCAAAGTGTATACCCGTGTTCAGACCAAAACGGCGCAAAAGCTCTACCCGATGGGCGGCACATACATAGCTTATATAAGGGAGTACCCCACCCCAACCCTCCTCGGGAGCGCGCATCACATGCAATATAACAATTTGCTGTTGTTATGTTTACAGGTTAAGTTAGCCTGGGAGTTAACAATGGATACAAATATGGAATTATGTTAAATTTGGTGTGTCTTGTTGACCGAAATACTAAGAAGTAAGAAGAGCTTCTGAAAATCACCGAAAACGCGTTTATTTCTAGTCTGAAATGTCATCGGATGACAGTTGACGGACTAGTTTTAATATTTCTATCATTCCTGAGAAAATGTTTTCAAATTGTTATTTTTCAGCATCAAAACGTGCATTTAATAACGAAAGTTGTGTTTTAACTCACAGATTAGAAGTACTCTTGAAACCGCAAACATGAAGGCGTGGAACGGAGGCGCCAGGGGCCCACAACGAGAACTGGCCCATCGTTGTCATGACTACGGCAAATTGATGCTTGTAAAGGAACAAGATGTCGACTCACTTTACCGCAAATCAGGTATCCTTTCCCTCTTTTTTAAACAGTTCATAACGCTGATATTTAGTTGAATCCTTGCAGCCATAGTTCATTTGTAAACTCAAAAGAAAACTGGACATTTGCTGGTCGTTTGTAATAGTTATCGTCGGAAATCTTGTTCATCATTGCTCGTCTTCTGCCTTTTTGTAAAGCTTATAACTTCTTTTAATTCGTATTCCAGTATGATCAAGCCTTTTTAGCCCAAAGATTGCAAAACTGGGAAATTCCGAAAAGATTTAAAGAGGTAAATCTTAGTTATTTTAAAGAGCTTGTGATGATAGCCTATTATTGTAGAAAGTTAATATGTTACTTCAGATGGATGCGCTGAACTGAACCTTCGAAATATATCTCAACTCTTACCTTGCAGTAACAATTTTGGCATGCAGCTTGCACTACAAAGGTTTCTCCTGACAAGTTCGTTTTAAGCAAGGGTAATCTAAGACACCCTCGATCCGAGGTTCCTTTAGCATGTGCACTAAATTTAAAAGATACTACAGTAGCAGGTCGTTGAGTGCGAAAGTCAAATGATCACAAGACTTGTACCGTGATCATAAGGGCACACAACCCTTTACCAGGTGCTGCAAGTTGAAGCATCTGGCTATGGAATCTTAATTTACAAAACTTGTTTTTAAGTAAATATTTCAAACAACATAGCTAGGGAACAGACTAATATTACTGAAAACAACTTAGCCTCTCCAGATCCTTGACCTTTTCTTCACAGTGTCTTTTATACACTCGCTATGCTGGTTTAACCAGGTAGTTTTAATTTTAAAACTGAAACCAAGCCGTATTGGCTGGTTGTGGCATGCAAGGGTAAAACCAGTTAGAAAATATATTTTTAATGCCTAAAGTAATTTATGTAACCATCATCAGATGTGTGGAAATATAAAATTTCATTTTTTTGATAGAAACTAATATTAGTATATAACCACATAAAAAAGCTAAAATGCAAAACCATTAAAATTTGAAATTAAATTGACAGATCAGATGCTCATCAGCTACTTTTTACTGGTCTGGCTTAAAATTAAGTATAACACACATCCCTGTCTCAACCAAAGGAATGGCATTTTTTTTTTACTTGTTAGCATTTCACAAATAATACTGTCTCCTTGCTTCAGGTGTCCAGCAAATTAATTTGTTTGCCTTAATTACAGTGTAAGCTCAAAAAACTATTTTCTTTCAATAGCTCGTTAAATTTGCTTATCTTCAGCAACCCAGAAGCATTTAGGGGGTGAAAAATTCTTCTCTCAGTTTATTTTCCACTCAAACAATTTACTTGACTCATTTACCCACAGCAGTTCTATTGGGCTAGGCAAGATTTCTTTTAATTAATACAGTCATTATGTACATGTAATGTTGAAGTGAAACTGCATGTATTGTCAAAGTCCATCTCCTTGTAATGCATTGTTTTCCACCTTCTGTGCACCAGGGTAATCAACAATTGCATGCTTTGGCTCATCAGCCACAGCTGGGAGCAATGGGTCAAAGTCACTAGACCACGTTACAACTATGTTTTTTTTATTACTACTGCTAAAATAGTGGGAACTAAATCAATTTATTGTTTAAAAAGAGGGTGCATGCAGTTTCTGTCATCATATTTTTGACAAATTTCCCATTTTTATTATGTAGGCTTTCTTGCATGTGCAAAAAAATAAGATTAGAACATGTTGCCAAAAAATGTGAATAAATATGTAACAATGTGAAAACTGAAACCATCATATTTAAACCCTTAAAAGAATGTGTTTTCTTTATAAATGTGCAGAGCTAATGAATATGTAGTTCAATAATTATTAATAAATTACCGGTACATCTGCATTGCATTATTGGAGTGTACTATATTCATCTGTTAATTGGTTGATCAGTATCTTCCATCCTTTACCTATTTACCTATTCCTTATTGATGTGCTTGCCTGTAAATGTTCTAAGAAAGTATTTCAAAGTACCTGCAGGCAAGCCTTGCCAAACAATTATTTAGACTACTGTTTTAAAATACAATTTTTTTAGCTGATAACTGGGAGTATTTGGGGAGATAATTACTCACTTCCACAAGGTAGATTGTATTTTTCATTGCCAGCCAGTACATGGAATTTTAGCCAAAAAATCAGGCAAACATTTTGTAGAAAATATTGTATGTTATCTTACCTTAATAAATTTGATTACAGTTTTTCCCACTAGTATAAAGTGCCTACTCAAAAATGTTCTTGACAATTTCAAGATGTTTTGGATTTATTTTGAAGATGGAATCATCCAATTTCTAATCTTTTTTCTCGTGCGGAGCATCTTGGGCTGCATTTGGTTCCTTATTATTATCCATGCAGGGATTTGCACCGTCTTTCACACCTGATTGGACTCTTCTACCTCTGCATGGGCCCATGAGGATTCATTAGTGTCAAAAAATGTCTTCTTTTTCTATTTATGACATGACTTAGATTAAAGGTAAAAAACATTACCTTGTGATCATCAGTGTAATACGACTTAACAATATTGCATTTTATATCATGATATATATGTCACTAGACAGGCTCTTTTTGGAAATCTGCACTACAGTCTTACAGAAGTAAGACCAAGTAATGGCTCTGCTCTAAATATTACTGCAGTGATATATGTCTATACTCTTAAATGTTTTCCTATTTATAATTACAAAGGTATTTGCTGTTAGATGACTGAGTAAGCAGACTGACAGTTTGTACTTATGGATACCTCAAAGCAGAAAGCATATCAGCCTTGTTCCCAAGGTTGTCTCCCATTGTCACCCCAAGTAAGGGAATCTGGGTAATGGAACAGGCAGAAATAGCTGCCAGCGTGGACCAGAGAACTGACCTTAAGGCCCCTCACTCTTGTGTCTGTGTGTCTTTCTGCATAGCATAGACAAAATATGCAATACTTATAATCAATAACTGAGAGAGTTTTAATTTTTACTTGTCTGTAGAGACCGTCCACTTTAGAAGGGTTTACCCAACCAATCAGCAATGATCGTGGGCATATTTTGCCTGGAATACCACGGTCATCGAAAAGTCCATGGGGCGAGTTTGTTGGAACATGGGATCTACAAAGAGCACCTCTTAAAACAAAAACGATAAAGACAAATGTACTGTCATCAAGCATTAAGGATACAGCACCAGCTCCTGTAGACAAGCAACGAACTCCTAGCCCAAAGCAAGAAGAAGCCCAAAATAATGCCAGAAGCCCAACACCACAACAAGAAGCTGTGTTAAGGACTCCAAGCCCCAAAGAGCGCACAAGCCCTCGGCCACAAAGCCAGGATGGTAAATGCAAAAAAACACCTAGCCCTACTCAACTTAAAATGGCAGAAGTACCTGCCTCTCCTGCAAAAAGCCTCACCCAGGAAATTGCTATGTAAAATGAGTCATGTCGTGTCTGATGGTCCCTTTTGATTCGGCCGAACGTTATTACTAACTTTATTGTATAGAAAGTACACATAACCATTGCAAGCAAAATAAATTATAAGCTATGCTTAAAAGTTCTTTTGAATGTATTTCAATTTGTAGATCAGTTTCAACAAGAACCCCATAGTGGGGGTACATTGGTCTACCGGCTTGCGTGACAATTTGGTCTGCTGCGCCAAAATTACATCCCAACCACGCAGAGGAGAGGTTTTCTTCTTGCGGTAAAGACTTGACCGAACCGGAAACCGCGCGCGAAAGGTCTCTTGCACTTGGCATGTAGATACTATGCGGAAATAATCAAATGGTTACAAAAATTGTACTTGAGGAGATTTGCCACAAATATATGCATATTCTAGCCTGAGTATCGGGCGTTTCTAGCCCCTTAGGAAGGCCTGACACTCGGGCTATGCATATAATTTTCTTCCAAAATACACGATGGTCGGTTGCTAGGGCTTTTCCTCACGCAACTTCGTAAATTCAATTTTTGGCTCACAGAGCAGTATTTTATATTCCAGATGAAGCAAGACATTAAAACATCTTAATTAGAGAAAAATTTTCTTTAAATTTTTACCATTGTTAAGGTATTTTTGACGTTTCTTGAAAGTATGACGTCATAAGTGACACCTATTTTTAGTAACAACATTAAAAACTTGCAAAGCAGTGTTCAAAACATTACTGACATTTTTGCTACACAAAAAGAGTATGTGTAGTGAAAACCCCATCTCAATTGGATAAAATGGCGTAAAGTTACAGCTAATAAAAGAAATCAAACAGTTCCCCCACATGACCATATAATATGGTCAAAATTAGGGGGATTTTAAACGCGAGAACAATGAATGTATTGTCACAGGAACAAGGAAAAAGTTGCATAAAATCAAAATTGTAGTTTTTTCTACTTACTTTTTTTTACTTATGTGTTGCTATGAAGTTTTCCTTACGAAATACGTCAAAATGACGTATTTCGTAACGAAAAACGTGTCATAGCACCACATACCCCAAGTAGAAAAAACTACAATTTTGATTTTATGTAACTTTGTCCTTGCCCCTGCTCCAATACATTCAATGTTCTCGCGTTTAAAATACCCCCAATTTTGACCATATATGGTCATTTGGGGAAATTTGAAATTCTTTAAAATTAGCTGTAACTTTACTCCTTTTTATCCGATTGAGATAAGGTTTTCACTAGAAATCACAGAATTCTATACAGATGTAAAGTTTTTACCATTTCTTTCCTGAATTTTTGTTCGGATGCCAAATTTGGACATCAATCATGACGTCACAACAGAAGTCACATGGGATGAAAGAAAAACCAATAAACAGGTCATTTATCAAACTACTTCCCTGCCAAGTTTCGTCACATTCGATGCATTCTTTTTCTGTCTATGGCCTAAAACTCTCAGTTTTGAGAGGCATTTGGGAGGAAAAGCCCTAGCAACCGACCACCGTGATAAGCATTTTTTTTTAATGTTTGAGCCAGACATCCTCGCGCTTCCATGACATGACATTTGTTATTTTACATAAGCGTTTGCTTGTAAAAACAAGATAAAGGAAAGCAGAGCTATCGGTCCAGACTGAGACTTTTTGCCGATTACTTTTTCGGTCCGCCAACTTTTCTAACTTTTGTGTATTAAAAATTCAATCCTTTTCTTCCTCGTATTTTCCAAATCTTGGATAAAGTAGATAACGTTATTCAAGTTCTTGGAACGTCTTCACAACCGTGACATAAAGATCCATAAATGTGAAATAGACTGCGAGAGGTGTCTCTTTTTCTTAAGATTTGGTAAAGGGAGTGCACGCGCGCGAGCGTTGAGCGGCGAAGCCTCCAGACGCGAGAAACGAGGGCGGCAGCCCGAGAAGAAAAAAGAGAGACTGCTCGCATAGCCAGACCCAATGCAGCTTCATGACCTCAAAAATTAAGATTTGCTCAGTCAATTAGTTTAGAATCGACTTTAACTCTATGCACTGCATAAGCTGCGCTTTTTAAAAAAAGAAATGTAGGAAAACCTCAGTTGTTCAAGCAAACTCTAACACGTGCCTGGTCTGTCAACACTACAGTTTTTATGCCAAAAAATCACTAGACCGTGAAAGACCATTCCCTGGACTATTCTCTCTGGCTTTGCGGGTAGTCTCTCTTTTGTCGTGCCTCTCCCGTCTCGCGCCTTCAGTCACGCGCCTGGTCATTTGTGTGTCTCGGGCGTTTTGTTCGACCGACCAAGAAAAAAGAGAGACTGCTCGTAGTCTAAATGTGAAATGACCCCCAGAAATATTTGCATGAATGCAAAACGTGAAATACATAGATGACGAACTTAGTGAACTTAACCAGAGCTTAGTTTCGTCTGTGGCGCAGGCTAACCACAGGCAGACCACCCTGTGTTAGTGGGGGCCCTTGTTGAGCAACGATCTTTTGTTTTTTATAGAAGAAATACATATGAACAATACGGTGGCTGTAATTTGTTCCAAAATGCAGAATTTAAAGCAAATTTGAAGAAAATGTTAACTGAGTCATGTGTCGTGTTTTTTTCGCCGTCCCGTGCTGTTTTAAACGCTATTTTGCGAGAGGAATATTTGACTTCTTTAGTTCTAACTGCCGAGGTTAATTTTTTTTAATTTTCAAAATGATCGACGGCGAGATTCTCGAAGCCAAGCAGAAAATGTACGCGAGGTTTCGTCGTGTACGCGTATTAGGCTACTTGACTGTTCCAGAAATGCTGGCAATGCACGAGAATGATTGATATGTCTCCGGTGTTTTGTAACGCGGTACATCTGGTACATATCCTTGGAGTGATACCTGCTACATTGTGTTCTGCATAACGATCATTCACTGCGTTGCGTAAATTGAAGAACTTAGCTCCGCAGCACCATGCATACACAAAGTGTACACGTGGCACAAAGTTTCAGTAACATCGCACTTATTAACATTGAAAGGGCATATGTCAACTCTGTAGTCAACAATGACATGGATCGTATCATTGACTTATCTTCGGCCGTCAAAGACAGCTAATTCTTTTTACGTGTTTTATGAGCTCATATGATAGATTCATATGTAAGAATGCTTTCACTTCATGTGTAGGCCTTTGTTGTTGCAAAACAAACAACAACAAACCCTCGTTTCCCTGTTTCGTAAAAATTGGGGCAACTTGCGAGAATTTTTTGGGCAAATAGTTTACTAGTCTGCTACACAGCCGTGTCGTCACGCAACGCTCCTTCCCACAAAGTTATTGGGGAGAAGCGTTGCGTGACGACACTAAAAACGGCTGTGTAGCAGACTAATAGTTTACCGCCCCCTGGCAAAAAATTGCCCGTATGCCTATGGATTTACTGTATAATACAAACCTTAAAGTATGAAATACACAATATTGTTACAAGCATCTCAAATAAAAACTATTACGGTGCATTAGCGGGACATGTATCCCTGTATCACCATGTCACACTTGCAGGCTGCAGACCCATAGTTTTCTTGCTATGTGTTCTACTCTGGTTTCCTTGTGGTTAATTCCATTATGATTTAGCGTAGTATGAAGCCTACAAATATCGGACGTCGTCCCTTATTTAGGTGAAGCTGTACAGTAAGCCACATGCGGTGGCTTTTCCACACTAAAGAGCACAAACTTGAGGCGGATGCGTCGCGCGTGTCTGGCGCTCCAGTCCTGCTCACGCCTTCTTCGCGCTTTCCCTTTCCTGATAACCTGATAAACGCGAAAAAAGAACGCCTTTTCTGCAGGCTAGCGGCTACCCATTTTTAGCATAACATACAAGAACACTTCGTCTTAGGACATAATAAGTATGGACGATTTGTAGAACATGAGAGTAGCTTTTTTCTTTCCTGTAGTGATTAGGATGGCTAGAGTGGAGGAAGTAACCGACGTAAGAACCGCGTGCGGTACGGTACTTTGGTCAAATAGATTTTTGATAGCATGCTATGTATAAGAGTACTTTTAAATCTTCTAAAATTCGCTCTGCGTTACCAGTTCAGTTATCTGCACGTTCAATACCGGTCATATTTGACGTCTCTTGATTTCACCATAATTACTAATTAGTAATAAATTAGGCAACCATCTTCCCTCTGCCTAAAAAAGATATGTTGAAGAAAGACTCAGTAGCGGAGATGAAACTCACCTGCTGCAAAGAAGCTTGTCAATTCAAGACTTTTTCAAATGTGCCTGTTCTGTACAACACTTGCACGTCGCGGGTACTTTGGATATCCAGAAAAGAAAGACAAGAGCAAAATTGTGGTTAGTCCTGTCAGGTAATTTGTAGATTTGTTATTGGCCAAGACTATGGAGGCGTATATGGCGGTGTGATCCAAAACAAACGCGAGGTGATTAAAAATGTTGCATGAAACGTTTGACGACTATATACTGGCCATACGTACATCTAAATAATAGGATTTGAAATATCCATTATCTCTGAGGCCAGAGACTCACCTCTTGACCGTCCTTTCTCAGTTATTTTTTTTCGTGTGGTTGTGTTATCCTTTGATTTCAAAACTGCAGGGCGGCGGTGTTAATTTGCTTACCAGACACGTCAGTTACGTAACTACTTATGGTTTTTATGTCGCAACCCAGAGCAACTCATGTTACAGAAACTAAAGGCAACAGTTATACCCAGGGTTCTAAAGGGCTTTTTCCATCTCATTTCGAGAACGACCTCAGTCTTGAGCCAGGTTACTAAATGTATGGTTTGAATAAAGATAACAGGGCTGTGTATTAAATCGGTATGTACTGGTTTTATTACCAGCCACCACGACTATGGAGGAAGTCCGTCCCCTGGGTAGCCCTGGGTCCGTGCCAGTCTGCCAGGCTAAGGTTACTCTCGTCCCCAGAGCCCGTCGTTTCTTGGTCACGTGGTGCTTAAAGGCAGAAAGCCCAAATCGTGTACGCATGCGTGTTTTTTTGTCGCGCTTTCGCGTGATGTGGTGCCCATTCTCGTCCCCAGAGCTCGTCGTTTCTTGGTCACATGGTCTTGAAACGAGGGGCGCTGGAAGCAGCCGTTACCGATACCGGATGTCCGTTAATTACGGCTAGAGCACGAAAGAAGTGTAGGGAGAAACACAAGACGTAGTGGAGAGTTTCTCCCTACTTCTTGAGTGCTCTAGCCGCTTCCTAAGTACTTTATAACAGAAAAAAGCACGGTCAAAGCTTCTTTATTTGTTATATAATAAAGAATCCGTTTAATTCCCCACGCATTACTTTCCATTTTCAAAACAAACTTTATTTTCAAAGCGACAAAAAAATGGCGTCAGCATGCTCTATACTCTCATAGAGCACGCTAAGTTAAGGCAATCAGAACTCGTATTAGAATGGTGTAAATGATTTGATTGGTTGAATGAGACGAAAGCTGTCAAAATGGCAAACCATCAAAGTTCACAAACTGAAATAGTGCGGAGAGGTGGAAATTACACGGGTGCTTTCGATTTTAGGGCAAAAAGTAGGATTAGAAAGTCAATTGTTGGATAAAATCCCGCATAATTGTGGCGTATGACATCGTGTACAAGAGAGGATAAAGGGGACAGAGAAGGCATCCCCCATACACACCCTATTCCATAGGTAATTCGTCTCGAGTTATTTTTAAGACCATAGATCCAAAGAGGGATTAAACAACAGCCAATCACATAACGCGAATGTATTCTGCGTGGATGACCCACGCTCAGAGCCATGTGTCTTTCACGAATTGACGCAGAAAAAAATGGCGGAAGACGCGGAGAGCGATATTGCTATTTGTTTTGTCGACGAAAACGACTAAAGAGAGATTTCTGCTAAAGCTGTGTCAGCGAAACGGAAATTAAAAAAGAATCGCCCTTCCTCTCTTGCATAGAGCTAACAGTACACACAGGATCATTTATAATTTACAATTTACAGTTTTCTTTTATTATTCAACAAAAATAACATTGGCGTCCTACTTGCTTTATTATACAATCGACCAGTTTCAATAGACCGGCGAAATTTCTCATTTTATTAAAGCACTGAGGTTACGACAACTTCGAGTTAAACTGATTTCACGGGTTGTCAAAGAGTCCAGCGATTCCCTTTTCCCAGGTGAGTGCCGACTCATTTCGCTTCAATATTCAGAAATGCTCTCGATCTCTTTACGCTTTCACTGCCTTTCGCCCGACATGTTTTGCACGGCGTTTAGTCATACGAAACCTCCACTAAACATCCACGCAGCGCGCGAGGTAACTTTAGCCCGATTCTAAAAATAACTCGAGACGAATTACCAGTCCTATGGAATAAGGTGTGTATGGGGGATGCCTTCTCTGTCCCCTTTATCCTCTCTTGATCGTGTACCTTTTCAGCATGACAATTGCGAAAGAAAGAGCTCGAAGCTTCAGCTGAAACTTTTCAACTTGCTTAGCTGAGTTTGAAATGTTGAACAGTTGTATTTACGGGAGCAAAGGAATTGCATGAAATGGCGACAAGGGCAAAACAACTGAATTGCTTCAACCCAGAACATCAGGGAGACGAGGGTCTAAATGGGGTTTAGTATTTAGTGTTATTTGCCCATAATTTTTAGTGTTTGCTGTTAAATGGGCCAATTTTTTAATATTTACTGTTTCCTGAGAAAATACTGTTTAGTGTTTGGAGGGTTATTAGTGAAAAAAAAAGCATAGTTTTTCAGCATTGTCAATTCTTATCTGCTCTCGGAAAATCGGTAATAAAATCACTCCTAAACTTTTAGCCCGTGCTCAAAGGGTCTGAAGTCTCTTTTTTCGACCCGTATGCAACCAGTATTCTGGGAAACCTGGAGACCACTCAGTGGGGACCATTTTGCTTTCGAAAGGCATAGGGTCACTTTTGACCTTTCAAAACAATCCGGCGTGGCAGCCGTCAAGAAACACCTGACAGAATTTCTTGGCCGGAGAGGAGCCTGCAATGAAATTTGGCCGAGCGATTTCGAGCTAAAGCTGTTCAGATTGTAGCGTATTTCCAACGGAATTCGGATAAAAAAAATCTTGTAAGGAAATCAAAGGCAGGCTTGCACGGACTCCCATTGTGTTTTTTTGGCTGCGTCCCATTGTCAAAGCCTTCAAACTAGTGTTACTCTTACAAGCATGTCTTAGAGATTTACCCTTTTTGTAAGATATGATCGGAGGCAAAGAGAGACTGCTCGTAGTCTACGAGGCTCTTTAAAAATCGTTTTCAGCATAGATTGATTTTCTATCAGACTCCAGTTTTCCATCACGGTTTTTAAGCTTTTTCACTGCAGGGTGGCATGTGTAACAAAAGGCAATAGTATCTCTGCATTTTTCGTTTTTGTGGTTTAAAAGCTGATTGTCCTTAGTCAAAGTTGACCTCTTGAAGTGACCTTTCTATATCGTTGTTACGATACCTCTCACAATTAAGTGACTAATTAATTGCTTTTTGATTAAAAAGCACAATTCACATGTTAGGTTTTCTTTCCGTAGGTTAGCTGGACTAGGAAAAAAGAAAATTCACTTAGTCTATAACACATCCGCGACTAACGACAGAAATTTCAGCAAGGCATATAGTTTTATGACTGATCGATTTCGATTGTTTGCCTGGTTTTCTTGCAATTCTTGAGTGGTTTAGTCTCGCATGTTATTGGTGGATGATCAATTAACCTGTCTAGTTCAGATCAAAGTGTTCTCGGGTTTTTGCCTCGCTCAGTAATTATGCATGCGGGAGTGTTCGTTAACTGTGTTGATTGTAGAACTGCAATTAGATAAGACGGTTTTCTGTAGTAAGAAAGGGACGTAAGGGAGAAAGGAGTGAGAAGAACTGAGGATTTCAAAATCAGTAGGGAGCCTGGTGAGTAGAACGAAAACTGATACCAGGAGGGAGTTTTAACAAACCAACGGAACACCTATCGTAACCATGTTGGCGGTTAAAGAAGAGCGTACCGTTATAGGAGGCGTTGAATTGGCGAGAAAGACAGTAGTGGCTGCTGATAACCAAGGGTAAGTCTCTAAACTTCAACGAAACTCTTTCAAATCCATAGGAACGTAAGATTAGTAATAGAATATGAATCTAAATTGAGTTCACGTGGAGCTCTTTTTGTGTTCTATTCTGCAGAAAAGCGTCCAATATTTCAACTGAGACTGAAAACTTCATCCTGGTAAATGTATGATCAGCTTTTTAAGCTTAACATGATACTAGCTATTGATTTTGAAACTATCAGTCTTGTGCGTGCGGTCACTGAATTCGACCGAGAGAGGCGGAAGTATTGTTACCTCATGAATTAATTCGTCGATTAATTGCATGATATTGCGAGCGGCGAAAAACGATTACCATCTCACCTTTGTCAAACTACTGTTCATAAAAAACGAACAAAATAGCTTTAGATTCAGTAAACTGCAGTCTTGATAGCTTGTATTACGATCGATAATTCGTCCTAGAAGACCTATTTAGTAAGTTCAGAAATTGTGTTCTAGCGTACCTCAGTTTTGACGCCCAATCAATAGCCAATCAGCGCCTTACTAAGCTCATTTTCCTTCAGGACCTTTCGTATACTTTCAACACAATTAGTCGTTTGTTTAGAGTACGCAACGTTTAAGCTTTTGACGCAGAGCAGTCGTTAATGTTTTTGTTTTGAGGCCATTTAAAAAAGACGATTGAATTTTTTGTGGTCAAGAAACCATCAAGTGATTTTCTTATAACCAAGTCACACTCCTGTCTGTTGTCACTGAATAAAGTCTTGGCTGCGTTGGTTTGCTTTGTGCGTGTGTTACGCCGCAAAATGTAATAATCGCCGCAAAATGTAATATTAACGCAAAATGTAATAAGAATCGCCGCAAAATGTAATAACATTGACGCAAAATGTAACAAAATTTTCAACGCAAAATGTAATAATCTTTCAACGCAAATTGTAATAACTTTTCTAACGCATAATGTAATAACGCAAAATGTAATGATTTCCGAAATAACGAGGTGCTTGCTATTTCAAAATCGGTATTGTGGCTCAGTAATCAGTAGCTGATCCAGATCTCGATGTGAATTATTATTATTATTATTATCAATATTGATATTTATAATAGTAATAATATTTATTTTCTTCTTCTTCTTCCTCTTCTTATTACTTTTAATGAAATAACGGTTGAAACGTCGTGTTACTTCCGTGCTGAGCTAGTCTCTCTCGATCGCAGCCGTGTTTTGTCTCGTCACGCAACACTCTTCCCCAACAAAGGAGGAGGAGCATTGCGTGACGAGACAAAAATGGCTGCAAGAGCTTGCTGTACTGTACCACAACTGTAACAACTGAGAGACTTGGTTTAATTTCAGGTGTTGAATTTAATTCAGTCAAATAAAATAGCTGTTGTCGAAAACAAGTAATAGAATCAACTTTCAAAGCGTAATTCAAATGCATTTAAAATATAAGATATCTGTCACACTTTTTTTCATGAGAACCAGACAACTTTGGCTGTAGCTTACTTTTCCTAAGTTCTCATTTAATAGAGGCTGAATTGTTCTTAATGCTGTTTTTTAGGTCCAAGTTTCTTTTATGTTGAAGTTTCCAAGCTTTGCAAAGTCAAATCAGTTTGCCTTGTAAGGCGGTTGTCGTTTGCCTAGAACAGATAGCGCAAAATTTTTTTAGTTAGCCCAGTAACGCATTTTTGATTGCAGTACAGCTAAGCTGATGCACAAAAACATTGAATTTGCCTGGCAAGGCAGTTGTGATTAGAAGACAGGCCATCCTCTTTTTTTTCTCCGTTTAGCGTCGTCCGACCGACCCAAATTTTTGGCATTTTCAAAAAAAACGTAACGACCTAGTTAAACCATTTTTCACTTGAAATAATTATTTTAATCTGAAAAATGAGCATAGTAACAGCATAGAGAAAAACAGGAACAAAGACATAAGCATTTTTTACAGTATATTGTGTATTTTGTTAATCCAAATATGTGAATGTTAACTTTTAACGTCGTCCTGGGGTACCAGGGCCTCCTATTCCGAGACTTCTTGTGATTTTGTTTTTTAGGTTTTTTTTTTTCAATTCGATCGACCGACTCAATATCAGGAAACGCATTCGACGCTAAACGAAACCTTGAATTTGCTCAGCAACGCAATCGCCATTGGCTTAGAGTTGACGGCGCCAAATCTTGAACTGGGAGATCCATAAAAAGTGCGCAATTTCGTCTTTTTAGGGCCGACCATTTTTGACCACTTGAGGGGGGAGGGAGTATGGGTAATTTGGTTTGGGTTAGAATTTTTGGATAATTATGGGAAACTGTCTACATAACCCTCCCCTAAGCCAACATTAACACTTATTTCTCACTTAGGGCGAAATGTTGGCTTAGGGGACGGCTAGGTGGGCACTGTATTGGGACCTGTATTACGTTCAAATCAGCGGAAACAAACGTCCCATTCGGTTCCCTAAAGATGATTACATCTCCTCATTTCAACTGTTTCATTGTAATAATAGCAATAATAATAATAATAATAATTAATATTAATATTAATATTATTAATATTGTTAATATTAATATCAATAATAATAATAGCTTATAATTTAATTAAAGATCTGAATTCGCTACTACCGATGACTGAGCAACAATACCGATTTTGAAATAGCATGCACGTCGTTATTCGGAAATTATTACATTTTGCGTTATTACACTATGCGTTAGAAAAGTTCTTACAATTTGCGTTGAAAGATTATTACATTCTGCGTTGAAAATTTTATTACATTTTGCGTCAATGTTATTACATTTTGCGTTAGTATTACATTTTGCGGCGATTCTTATTACATTTTGCGTTAATATTACATTTTGCGGCGATTATTACATTTTGCGGCGTAACATGTGTGTCTTAAATTTCCGGAATAATTTGATAACGCACGTTCGACTTCGTTGCTTTAGGAAAAGAAAAACTTCGGAAACTGCTCTAAAAAGAGAAAGCTTAGTCATATCCCTATTTTGAAACCTCGTTAATTCTACCATCTTGTTATCATGATTAACTGAAGACCAACGACCACTTTTTGGTGCGCAAGCGATGTTTTTGGGCTACGCTTCAGTGGTAACACGTTCTTGATAACTGTCATAAATATAGAAAATTAAAACAATATTTCTGTCGCAAGATATACCTGTAGTTTGTCCTTATTGCTTCGATTTTCTATAATGTTGGACTGTTGGGTTACATTACCCGGATCTTCCACCAATCTTGTGGGACTGTTGGGGAAAGTAGCCGGGGCTACCAAGCGCAAACGGGAGGCACCAAGAGCCTGAATAACGAAGACTTCATTTTCAAGTTTTTTTTTTTCACAGCTATCCGCTGAATCGTCTATCTAATCCATCTCTCTGGATCACATCAGTTCTGTGATTCAACTCATGTCTCTGATTTAACTAACTACTAGCACTAGGACATGTTCTTACATAGCCTACTGACAGACATGTGTGGGCTTACGGGCCGTTTGACCTCGAGAATCCGGTCAGTATAAAACACGGACTGCGGACTGCGGACCACGGACTGCGGACTGGGTATAAAGTGCGGACTAGGTATAAAATGCGGACTCCGGGCTGAGTATAAAACACGGACTGGGTATAAAACGCGGACTACGGACTATGTAAATAAAAACAGCTTTAGAAAGATAAAACTGAGAGAAATGGAAAGCGGACTAGCAAAACAGTAGTCCCAGCTTTAACATTCCCTTAGCTGTTCACGTAGTCTATTCTTCCCACGGAGAAGGAAGGTTATCCCGCACTCAAGGCAAGTGAAATTTAACTCTGAATTTTATAAAAAGAAGGAGTTAGAAGAGATTTCGATTTGCAGTTTTAAACCAATAAGAAGCTCCGAATTAAAAAAATAGTAGTCAGATCAGTAAAATTCTTATCGGATGCCACAATTCCGTATGAGGACTGAATGAAGAACTCAGACGAGAAGGTCAATGCAGGGCATTCCGCGATGCACAAAAGCGGTATTTATGGGGGAGGGCAAGAGGGGAGGGATTACTCACATACGTGAATTATAACCGAAATGAGTCATCCAACGTTATATTCCAAGCGATGATTATGATGACATGATTTACACCCTGCTCCTGATTCCCGGAGGGGGGTACTACTGGGAAATCTTGGTGGGGGATGGTGCCCGGTTCTCCGAATCCTGACCTTATTGCAGACCAAAAAATGTCATTTTCCACATCCATTTTCAGACCAGATCTCTAAAATCCATACCCATTTTCGGACCTGGCATAATTTAGCCTGTTCCAGGCTCTCAGATAGTTGGGGAGACTCCCCAGTTTTTTCCTGTTTTATTTTCGTGTTCGCGCTTTCTTAATTCAGCGGACCCAACTATCTCGGAGCCTGGAACAGGTTAGGTCTAATTAGGCAGAAATTATGTCATCATTACCAAGTTAGAGCGGAAACAAAAAAATTCTCCAGATGCATTTCGAATTCGCACATTTCTATTTCGTTCTTATTCATTTGGAATTGAAACGATAAATACGTCCATTCACGTACGCTCCTGTAGTTCCCTCGAAAACCATACCCGATTCCAGACCAAAATGGGCAAAGTGTTTTCAGACCAAAAAGGCCCAAAACCCCTACCCTTCCCTTATATAAGGGAGTACCCCCCTGATCCTGACCCCTTTCATGACTGTTAGAGACCGAGACAAGGTCTAAAAATGGGTGAAGAAAATAGGATTTTGATCCGGCTCATGATTCAGAGGCCCGGGCGGCACACCTCCACCAAGAATTTATAGGAGTATTTACAACTTTAACTCACGTGTCTTGCTATTTAGCGATCTTTTGATCTTATTTTTCCTTACCTAGAACCAATTAGCAACGTTTTTACCAAAGTAGTCCGTAGTCCGTATTTTATACCCAGTCCGCAGTCCGCAGTCCGCGTTTTATACCTAGTCCGTGTTTTATACCCAGTCCGCATTTTCCAGTCCGCGTTTTATACCTAGTCCATATTTTATACCCAGTCCGCAGTCCGTAGTCCGCAATCCGCAGTCCGTGCTTTATACTGACCGCTCGAGAATCTGGTAGTAAACAACAAAGTCGATCTTAGAGTACTGAAGCCTAAACAAGAATTTTAGGTCAGTAGATGTCAACGAACCCAAGCATGACCACTAAAGAAAGTTATTGTTCGAAAATAAACCCGTAATAACGGCCAAGGACAAACCACTCGAAGGTTGAAACCATGCACGTGTGCAGCCTTGCAGGCCCTTGAATCACAAGACTCACACGATGACTGCAAACAATTGATAAACCCTTGACTGGTTGCTTCACAACAATATTAGTAGCGGTTGTGATAAACGTATTTTCGCTTGAGTTATTATGAAACAAAAATATACAGTTAAGACTTGTTTGCTTAAAGTTAAGTCTGGAGTACCTCAAACCTCACGGAACAACTTCTAACAACTTCCAACAACATGCATGCGACAAAGTGTTCAAAGGCACGCAACATGTTGGGCCCAAAAATGTTGGATGTTGTTGGCCAACAAGTTTGCATTTACATGGGCCTGAAGATAGAGCCATCTAATAATAAAACTTGTTTGAATCCTGGACATTTGTTTAATTCTGTTGTCCCTTGAATTTGATTTATTTCAGAAATCTAATCACGGAGGTAACAGAAACTAGAAGAGATGTCGATTTGCCAGGGAGGTAAAAACAAGACTTTAATTAACTTATAATGACTGCTTCCCTATAGCTAGCACTGCTATCTTGTCTAGAAGATAATAAATGTTTTAAAGTAAGCAATGCCTTCAATGTAGAATTCCATTCTCAATAAGTAGTTATGTGAACTTGCAAAACCCAACCCCTTTTGAATAAGGGAGAGGTGGGGCTCTTAAGAGAGGGGATTTATTTACAACTGGGTCTGAAACGGTTAATAAATGAATTAATCAAGTTAATAAATGTCATCTCATCTCACCTTTATTACGAATATTGAACTCTGTTAATTATATTACAGACATTACAACCTTAAGCAGGCACTTTTCAAGAGCAGAACAAGTTGCAAACTGATTTAAAAGTGATTTGTTTTGTCAGAGAGTAATCCTGATACCAATGAGTCTGGGGAATATTAGATTTAACATTTACAGATCATCATTAAATAGTTTTGAACAAATTTCACATAGCGTATAATGGGGGTTGGGTGGAGGCTTAATAATTTTTGATTGTTCAAAAATGAGAGCTGAATGGGGAGGGGGATGAGAGAGGTTTCATAGAATAATTATGAAATTAAGGTTGAGCATTTTTGTTGCTTTTTTACAGACGAATTTTACAAATTGTTTTCCTTGTTTTCTTTTCAGTGTTCCTTTAGTAACACAGCCTTGGTGAGATCTCCGTTATTTTATCAAATTTTGTAGCAAATGAATTTATGATCAACATCTTCACATGTATTCAACACTATAACAGTCAGTCTATTACATAGACTTGTCTTAAGACCTAACCATTAGAGCGCGTTTCAGTTGAGTGTCGAAAACCAAAACCAAATTAATCACAACGGCCAATCAGAGTAAAGGAAATTATCAGAGGGAGCCAATGACAACTCGAAGTAAACGCATGTAACCGGCCTGTAGCGCGAGAAAACGCGAGTGACCAAAGAGCGATTGGTTTTAGTTTACATCTGATTGGCTGAGAGGGTGGCGCGAGTTTTCTAGACCAATCAAACAGCACAGTAAAGCAAAACCAATTCAATCCTGGATTACTTTCAACATTCAATTGAAAATTGCTTTAACAGTCAGTCTATAACATAGACTTCTCTTGAGAACTAAACCATTAAGCCACCCAATTAACTTTCTAGAATTTATACGCTTTTGTTCGCTTTTACTCACGTAATCTCCTTTATACATTATTTTGATGTGCATATTTAAAAAAAGTTCTGGGTTTTGCATTGCATAGTGTATTGTCACCTTGCGTTTTTTTTATTCCAAACTCCATTCACTCTCTTTACCGATAACAAATCAATCAAACTCCCTCTTAACATAAATTTTGCTTTTGGCCATTTTCAGCGCACCCCCGGTTCTACTTAGCCCGCCGGTCATTGTACCAAATCCTCCACCACCAAAAGAGTTTAGCTGGGTGGAATGTTGTTTCAAGTGTGAAAGTAGTTACGAGTGGTACGAATTAGGAGGAAAGGGTAAGTAGTCGACTAGACTGCAAAACAGTCCGTATTTTTGCGTATTCAAGTACGCGCGAGCAGTCAAACAAAAGGTCTGGAACGAGGATGAAAACAGAGAGCGAGACTGGGGGGAGACTATGCTCGCGCGCGTAAGACTCTTACGCCACGCTTTACCGATTTTTTTACTGATTTTGAGAAAAAAACCGACTGTTTTGCAGTCTAGTAGTCGACATGAAACAATTAGTTACTATAACGGAAGCTCCAAACATCTTGTGCTGAATCTCCAGAAACCACACTTTTGATTCAGTTGTCATTAGATAAAGACGATTTTGTAAAACGGGTCGCCAAAGGGCTACCGTGACGTTTGAATCTCACTATTCTCCTGCTAGGTGACGGTACCATACATTTTCTCGAAGTAACGCTGAAATTCTCCTTTAAAGCACAATGAATATAAGCTAACTCGATATCTTCAAAAGCAGAAGCTGCTGAACCGAAACATGTTTGGAAACCATAAACATCGAGCACTGCGATGTTCATTAGGCGCGTGCTGAAGAGTACTGATCATGATATGTCACGTACGCAGTGATAATATAACATGAAACGAGGTGCATCATGGGATACTATTGAATCGTCGTCTGGCCTCTGAGTCAATAGCCCATTCCGCTTCCGGCCTCATGGGCTATTGACTCAGAGCCCATTCGGGCTCGAGGAATAATTGTTAATTAGCTCACGTTAACTCACTCTAGTTCACACTAATAGCTCACGGAAGCACATGCATTTTTAATCAGTCACTCTCATTTTATGTAAGCTTGCGCTACTTGACATGTAACTTAAGATTTGGAACAATAAAGCACAAAAAAACACAAATAGACTATTTGGACGCTATAAATAGGGCGATAGGATGAGTTCAAAGCAAGATGCCCTTAACTCATGTCGTGTCGACGAAAATACTCGTCCGCCGAGTGAAACGGATCACTAATGCAATTACGTAATTTAGTTGACAAATTTCTTCCTTGTTGTTTTGCAGGTTTTTGCATCGTCCTGCTACTTCTCTTGGCTTATTTGATTGTTGGAACTCTTATCTTGGCATATTTTTTGTTACTTTGTGCTTTGGCGTGTTTCGGTACCGATTCTGACGATTAGTGATTGACCTGTGACGTCATTTTTTGTTTTCCGACCGCAAATTTCATACCATCATCTTCAATTAACGAAAAAAAAAAGAGCGAAGGAGAACTTGTAAAATCATAGTAAGGAGAAAGTAGGATTGGTTAGAAAGTTATGGTTAGCGCTTTTATATATCTGAACAATACACTGGCAACCATTGCTCAAGCTATGGATAGAGTGTTTTCACGTGACGTCCTGTCGTTGACCCTATTAAAACAGTGACAAGTCGGTAATATTGATGAACCATATCAATCCGGGAGGGAGTCCAGCTCTTTTTGTAATGCAAAAACTTTCATTTGTTAATTAAACAAATATGGCCGTTGGTCACGTGAGTGAAAAAACTCTCTTGGTGATTTTTACATGTTGGCCATTTAAGATGTGATTGGAAGCATTCAATAAATAAGGTTATGAATCTGGCATGTGATAGGAGTTTGATACATGACTAAACGTGGTTTAATGGCGAATCGTGGTGCATTACTTCTATCAGAGTTATTAGGAAAAATAACAATATATGCAAACGAAACTGTTATTTGCTGAATAAATAAAGTGTTAAGAAAAATCGTATTTACTCAGATAAAGTAAAGTTAACTTTTCTCGAAGAAACATGCCAAAAACACTTTCTTCAATTTGGCACATAAATATATGAACATTAAAATAAAAACGTTGGTTTTTATAACAGGTGTAAAAAAAACGATGTACTTTTTAGAATTCGACTTATAGTGTGCTATAAGTAAAATGAACATTTACGAGTACTTCTGCCTTTTAAAATTATTGTCCCTCAATTGTTAATTAACAAGTTCCTTTTAAACTTCTGGTTCTGTTTATAGGCGTTTAAATGGTTGGAGCTATCCACATGTTACAGGCTAGAGCAATACTCGTCTGTAAGGCTGAAAATTAAGGCCACCTCATCGAAATCTGATCGCCTCGCACTGCAGAGCACAATCAATAAACACAATCAGTTAAACTCATCCTTGCTCTGTAGGACCCTGCAGCAGCTATTGCCGTCTTTTATGTCATTTCAACTCCTCCAATGATGACACGCTCTTCTTTAATAGCTATCACAGCTTCTGGCTCGTTGTTCATTTTCAATTTTGAATCGGTGCAGTTCTTGCTTCAAGTCCACTGACATACAGCCAAGAATCAGAATTGCCCGTATTTTGGCGAAGAATGGCATTAATGGGTATTAACCAATTATCAACGAAGGCTGTCGTTCATGACGTCATATATAACGGGCTATATATCAGCGACCTATGGCTTGACGTTGCCATTTCTGAGAAATATCATATTACCCATTTACTATTAAAATTTAAAATTAATTGCCTTAAATGGTATTCCTCTCAGTTTGCAAAACATTTGATCAAAAGAATTAAATAGTTACGAACGTAGATTAATCCTTCACCTATTTTCACTTTTCATTTGCATTCGTTCCTTTGAGTGAGGAAATCAAGAAACACTCTCTCGTATAGCCTCTTGATACCTTTTTCTCTCCTTACCAGCCGTTTAGATAGAACAAGAACGTTAACAGTGCAAGGTCCAAACCAAGGATAATAGGCCCTTCTTGTATCTTATCTTTTATCTCGAAAGTTTACTATAAAAATCAAATAAAATGAGGAAATATACCAGGAAAGGTATAAATGATGCCGGCAGACGCCTCCGATGTGCATCTCTTTCAAAGCAAAGGATAGAGGAGTAGAACGCATTGATTTGCAGTGCTTGATTAATTTACTTCAAACCTGTGCGTCTATTTTACAACAAATTCTAGAATAGCCGCCGAACTGGCCGTCTGTTATTTAATGTGCCTGGCTCACATTTCCAGATTCTTTATCTTTTCGTTCATGGGGAGAAGTAGAATGAGCTTACGCCTATCTATGTATTTGGAATATGCATTAGATACAACTCATTCATCTAAGGCAAGGGCAGTTCACATTTCCAGTATCTGACATGGTTTGGAGCAGCGATTATTACGAAACAAGTCGCAAGTGGCATACGCTCTCCTAAACCGAAAAACCGAAAGGCTTAAAACGTCAACGGAATGGGGGGAGGGGGAGAGGGGTGTCAGGTGAGAAGACGGGAAACTAAAAACCGACAAGCAAGTCACTTATGCTGTTGGACCAACAACTTGGTGAAGCTAATGTATAGGTAATATTATACACTGTAGGAGGCTTTGAATTGGCGGGCAAGACAGTCAGGTAGCTGCTATAGTGAAAGATAAGTCTGATCACCAAGACAGAAGTGTTTCGTTCGCCTTCTTATTCAAAAGAACAAGATTTATTTAAGCTTGTGCGCTTGCATTGCAATGAGTAAGTTTGGAGGTCCGCGTGATGGTCATATGTTATGCTAAAAATGCGTCAGGTATTGAACTAAATTAGTCACTGTCCTGGTGTAACTATAAATATCTTAAAAGCCAAGCATTAGATGTTAAATACTGAGATCGGTTTATCCACTGAGGTTTTTTAATGTTTTGTTTCTGGAATGCTGCCTTAGTTTGGAGGAACGCGGAAGTGTTACTTGAC